TCCCCAAATCTGACCATATGGGCAGCTGCCTTCTCTGTTCTATTTGGTGTCAGGCTGACCTTGTGGGAGAAGAAACAGCCTGGTATCTGCTTCAGAGAAGGAATATGGGTGCTTCCAGCCTGTCAGAGAGGCTTCACTGTCTCGTACCTCAACCAGAGCACACTAACCTCCCTGAGAGCCATAATATAAAGGTTGTCTGGTCTTTTCCTTCATGAAGAAAAATAAAGGTATCCTGAACTGGGAAGAAGAAGTGTTTTACATTTGAAATGTTTCCAAACTGGTGTTCTTTATCTCATTTTAGGGACTAACTGTGTCTTTTCCATCCTCATTCGATAATTACTTCCTTTGCAAACATCAAGCAATGTTTTTTTCCCACATGTAGAAGATGGTGCATGAATGATAGCTCCCAAAATAATCCTTGCTGTTGTCACATAGCACATGCTTCTTTGTTATTTTTAGCATTTTGTAGTTGACAAATGAATACAGATCACTGATTTCTCTTCACTCTTTTCCCCCTTTCAGGTCCTTGAAGAAAAGCTACTCGATCAAACATCTGATAGTTACAAATTTGAAACCGTGCTTCTGAATCCCAGCACATAGTAAAAAGAAAAGACAACACTGATAATTATACCAGTCAAGAAGCTGTGAACACTGTGGTGTATAAATTCTTTACCAAGGCAACTCGACACCTTCTTTCTCTGGGCCTAAACCCCTGCTGCTCAAGGCTCTTTACACACACAGACCTTCCATTCACTGCAGTGGGAATTCTCCGTGTGTCAACGGAGAGGTTTTCCAGTCTGCAGACTGAAACAGTCTAAGAGTCAAGTTCATGACTTTCCAATAAATCACCAGGGCCAGGATGAAACGAATCTTGGGTCTATGGCTTTTCCACAGATTAACAAATCCCTCATTAGGCTGTAGTTCAAACTGCATCAGTTCAATATTGCCACCACTTAAAAGAAACCTACAGGTTGCCCCTCTCCCTGACCCATTCCACATCCACACTGCTGAGTTGTCTGAATTACAATTCCAGTTAATTGCAAATTCAAGCTCTACTCTCCTCTTGAAAAAGACAAGTTATTATACTATATACTCTACTCAGATTCTCAAAGCAATTGGCTTTTTATTTTCTGTTTCCATGAATTTTATTATGCATTAATAGAGTGGGGCAATTATAGCTCAACTTTAGTTTGCTAGATGCAAGGATAGAGAACTCTAGTACTGTATTTTTTTTTAATTTAAGTATTGCTTGTATCTATTACTATTAATTCTAACAGAATATAATGTATATTTATCCCACAAAATATATATTATCAGAGTGTATTTGTTACAAAGGTAGGTCTTTTTTTTTTTTTACCAATGTTATGAATCTGGTAAGAGAATACGAGCAAAGGACCTAGCTTCATGAACTGATCCTCTTGTGATATTTATATATAACCCTGCTTGCAATATTTTTTTTAAGTTTTATATTTTTTATTGATAAACTCTGGAGACATCTAAACTGATGTGCTGTTATAAAAGTCTATTTAAAATTTAAAGGTTAGGGCTTTAAAAAACTAAATTACAATACATCACACACACACACACACACACACACAAATGTATGCTATACTAAGTTTAGATCACTTTCCCTAGATATAAAATGGATAGTCTGGGAAATCTAAGATCAAAGGGTTATTCTTTTTAAATTAGTCATATGTAAACCAGTGATACTAATATTATAAATGAAAAGATGCTGCTTCTTCTGAAGGAAAAATATACCTACTTCATTATACATATTCATGGAGGTAAAAAGACAATATGATGTCATCTTTCAGAAAGCATCATTTACTGGAAAAGGATCTGTTAGAGCCACCTATCCTGATCATAACGTGTGACTTATGTTAAATATAGGCACATAAGTCTGATTTTACTCTATGGAATGCATAGGAAGCAAGAATTATTTGGGCACTAAATACCTTAAGCACACAGATGTACCTGAAAAAAGAATAAATGTCCAATTGAAAAACACTCTAGATCAATCATTAAAACTGAGGCAAGTATTTGAATATTTCCCTTACTCAAATGCAGAAATTGATTCCCCAAGATACAATAAATTTCACATTTCAGACAGTCCCCCAAAGTAAATACATATAAACCTCAGTTTAGGAGCTGTTTTCTTGAAAAAATAAAATAAAGCCCGCCAGAATTACCCAGCACATTTTTCAGTTTACCCTGGTCAGCTAGTCTTACGCCAAGTTCTGCCTACTCTTCATTGTCTGTCACCCAACAGAGGACAAACAGCAAGGAAACTAGAGGGTACACCATTTTCAACAATGTTCTGCTGTAGTGACAGATTCTCATCCTTGAAAACATATCATTTTTTACTAGAGAGTCCGGGGGGGGAGGGGCAAGGGTAAGGCTCCTGAATGTTGTGTAAAATAGGTTTACAGAAGTGACAAGCATGACTCCAGGGAATGAGTGGAGACTGCTTGTGTGTTACCAGTTTGAAAGAGGTAGTTCTCATTTTTATAAGAAAAATGTAATAAAACATATATATTTTAGTTATCATTTAACAAAGAAATATGAAAGCTATTCAGGCGATGCCACAGACTCTCGGAAGGGGAAGTCACCAAACCCTTGTAATGAGAAATGGTCATTTCAACACATTTTAATATATTGTATACATTTGGAGCTTAAGGTATGTTTTTCTTTGGCGTGTTTGGTTCATGTGAAATTATCAGGTTTTCCCATCAATGTAAATATTGTCATGGAATTACAGAACAATTATCAAGTGAGCGGATTCCTTACATTTGTGTTTTCTAGAAGTTTTTGTATTTTTATGCTTTATTTGCATAATGTTACGTGCTAATAAATGTCTGCCGGGTCATTTGTCACAGTGAAGGGGCAATCCATCACACCTACGACATCTAAGGACAGATTACATGTCACAGTGGTCCTACATACATGTGACCAAATGGTCAGTTTTCTTCAGGAAAATCTAGTTGTTGAAATATAAGCCTTCTCTTAAAGTTTTAATCAAAAGTAACCATCCCTAAGATTTAGAGAGGGCCCTTGTGGTTCTCTAGAGCTTCCCTGAAGCCAGAGGGAAAGGGAAAAAAATTACAACTTTATTAATACCCTTTGTTATTAATGATCATATTAGAGCTACTGACATGTCCAAAATGATATTAAAATAAAGACATATCAGGGTGCTCTTACATGAAGCTCAATCATAAACAAATTAGATATTAAAAGTTAGGGGGAAAAGTCTGTTGTGACTATACATCAGTGATCCTGTTGACTTTTAGTTCTTTTCTTGGTCAGGTTGGTGGCCAGATTTTTCTAAATTCTTTCCTGCTATGATTTTGAGTGCAAATACGTGGAGCACAGTTCAGGAAAAGAATACCGAATACTTTTCATTGGGACATTTACATCTTGAGTCTATTGCCATTTGAAATAGAACATCCTTGGGGAGATAATGAGCTTAAATTACAATTGACTTTGGGAAGAATAACAGACTTTCGTGCATCCTCTATCATGTAATCAATAGGGAATTCTCCAGTTAGGTGAACTACTCTTATTTTTTTAAGATAATGCTTAAATCTAAATGCAAAATCAGGGGCTTTTTAAGAATTCAAGGCTGTCTCTGAAGAACTTGTCCAAGGATGAATTGAACCAATTTACAAATGCAATTTTCGGCCATGACAAATCACACTGATCTGATCTTAGTTTAATTTTATTCAGCTGTGCCTACATATAAGACTCCAGGATGTTGGAATATTTTGTCGACATCCTTTTAAACTTCTATAGATATTTGTGGATGTGTGAATAATACCGAATTTCTCATCTTCTAGCTAGTTTGTGTTCATCATACAGACACAGCCTGTTAGATCGGCTTTAGACGGCATTGCGAAGTAGAAATCAATGCTCTAAAGATTCAGGGAGGCCAACAGGCAAGATCTCCCCAAACTCGGGATAGTTCTACCCATTTCAATCCTCTCTGGATCATAAACTCCATGAGAAAGGGCTGTGACTGTATTGTAGGCTGCTGTATCCCTGGAATCTGATATGATACCTGGCACAAGATAGGCAGTCAATTAATATTTGTTGAATAAATGAATGACAGAATAAGTGGACAGACAGATAAATGAATTTTGCCTTCTGATAATTTGAAAAATTTTACCAACTCATACTGATTGGCACTATAATTTCTGAATTTCATAGTGAGAACTAGCATTGACTCGTCATAAATACTTTCTAGGCATATGAATTTGGAATCCATTACCTCAAACGCATCAAGGGTTTGAGGACATTTAGGTAAGGGATAATGTTTGGGGATTCAGAGTTTTTACAATGAATAACACTCAGCCTTTCTAGTTCTTTCTAAAAGCTCTTGAGTTATTTGGCAAAAATAATCCAAACATGGAACTCCATCAATAAATTTTATAAAATATTATAGCTTCCTTTTTTTAAATAGAAGAAAAGTCATATTGTCATGAATATTATTAATATCCCCTTTGATATTTATTAACAACTTTAAGGAGTTCAGAGTAATTGGAGTTACCATCTCTAAATATTTTTTTTTGCTTTCAAAAGATCACACTCATATTTGATTCCTAAAATGCACACCTGAGTTTAAGATTAATCACACAGCTATTAAGACTTTTCTATGTGTTTGTTTATTTAACAAATATTTATTGTGCACCTAGTATGTGCTAGGTTCTGGAAACACAGTGGCAAACATGACAGACATTGTGCCCTCACGGAGCTTACTGTGAGGAAATCCTCAACACTAACTCTAGCAATAACTAATTTCCTGCCTATCCAGTCCCTTTTCATAGCTGATAGAGGAAATAAAATCCCTGACCCCATGGAAGTCATAAAAGACTCCCTGAACATATTTCAATCAGCTTGCTTTTCTAAACACACCACTCAAGAATGCTGCTCAGTTTATCCATGTGCCATACTTATGCCCCAGTGAGGTACATACATAGTAATTTATTCCTAAATGTTATAACTAACATTTAGCTCTTAACTGGGTTCTACTGTGCTCAGTGCTTTCAGAGACTATCTCATTGACCCTTCAACAACTCTAGTACATTCTATTTTATAGACAAGAAAACTGAAGAACAGATATGTCATTTATTCAAGGTCACACAGCTAGCAGAAGGAACTAGAATTTGAGCCTATGCAGTGTAACGCAAGAGCTCATGTGTCTAACCATTATATGTGGCCTGGGAACACCATTACATGAAAATAAATGAGTCACTGTATATAAAAGCACTTTTGAAATTGTAAAGTAGAATACAAAAAGATATTAGTAAAATATTAACAGTCAACAAACCACATCAGTGGCAGAAACAGAGTGAGAATGCAATCTTATGTCACATCTTACTCTCATGAAGAACACTTCAAGCCAGGGACATGGATAAAAGGACAGATCCAGAGAATTTTTGATGTGATAAATATTTCAATGACTTTTCAGAATTATTTGGTGTTAGGCACTGTGTCTATTTGGTGCTACAAAAACAAACAAACAAACAAAAAACTGAAACAAAATCCCTTGCTGTAAGGGCTTATAATAAATACACAGTGTGGAGATGAACTAAGGATATTTCACATTGACAGGGAAAGATTGGGCAGTAGTGCTATTTTCTCACCATTGCATGTAATCGTGTCTTTCCAATTGTTTTCATTATTTTTTCTGAAAGAGCTGCAAAATTGTGCAGTGGTTCAACCTGACCAAAGTGGGATTATGCTGCTGGGAAGTAAAAGTATTAAACACCAGATTGGAAATACTGTCTTCATTATCAAATGACTTCAAGTTCTTTTAAAGCATGGATGTAGAGGGATTTTTAGATGCTGAAGGCACCTGAATAGTTTGACTGCAAACTGCTTGTGTTTCTCCATTCCAAACTACACAGTGGGGTCATACTACTGAGGGGTTAGCCAATATGAGAGGCAAAAATTGAAGTTGGTCTAATCACAATTAGGTAGATCAGTGTCCATACTTCCAGAGGCTAGCAGGAACTGACACCTGTGGGAACAGTATATTCGTGTCCCCATCTCACTCACAAAGAAGAATCACATGCATTATTTAAATTTGTTTTCTCTCTGCACCTCCCAGTTAAACGGGCAAGTGATGCAACTTAAATGTTAGTTCACATTGGTGGTAGCAAGGCGTCTTCAAGAAAACTTTTCATTATCTCATTCTTTTCCACTACCAATGAATTAGTTCCTTCTAAATAATTCACAGTTTAGGAAGTTTAGCTTCACATAAAATACACCAGTGGGGAATTCAAATACCTTACGTCCAAACCATGCTTGTTAACTTCTCTTCAACTCCCTTGACACCTTTATTTCTACTGATGATATTACCATTCTCTGTACAATTATAGTCATCTTTCTCACTTCCCATTTATATCAATTCTTAGATTCTTTACATTTTACCTTGACAGAGTTTCTTGAAACTATCTTCTCTTACTCATTCTCACTATTCCTACCTATGCATAGAACTTAGTACTTTTTATTAGGACTTATGTGAGCTTTTAACTGTTTTCCCAGTTACCCCATCTCCCCAATTTTTCCTATATATTGATGCTCGATAAATCCTCCTGAAGATATACCTTTGCTCAAAATCCTCCAAGGGGTCTCTCCTTCCTCTCTCTCTCTCTCTCTCGCTCTCGTTCTCACTCTCTTGCTTTCTCATACACACACACACACACACACACACACACACACCCATGACTTTGCTGCTGATTTATCCCCACATAATATTTGGTTGCTTATTCCATGGGAAAAATTGTGAAGAGTAAAACTGGTTTTCAAGTTAGCAACCATAAAACAATATGGGCACCATAACACTACTTCTGATTGTACTTCAGTCCTGTATTAATGGTCCTGCCTATTGCTGCTGTCAATCAGAACACAGACCCACCCACTCTTCCTAAGTCCTCCCTTCCCCTCATGTCTGCCAAGTCTTTACATGAGGAAGAAGAGATTGGGAGACTAATCACTATGATCTCAACTACTGCTTTAGCTTATACAGGAAATAAAAGTTAATAGAAATTAAAACATTTCTCCAGCCTTAGTCACACATTGTGTTGTGTTGTATGGCCTGTAACACAAAGTTTTATCTGGGCATGACATTTATATACCAAATGTATTCAACATCTAACTTAAACGTGATATTAATTTAGTTCTTTTTTTTTTTTTACCTCCCGCAAGGATTGAAAACACAATATCCTAAAGGAAAATTCCCACACATAAACAGAGACCTGCACTTTTTTCATTCTTTAAGTTATAATAATTACAAACAGAACTTCAAGAAATATCCTACATGAACACAACATAGTTTCAAAGAATTTAATTGCTACCTGTCCAATAAATCTTGCTTCCTGTGGGCGTTTGTTTATTAACTGTGTTGTTGTATCTAAAAGGGCTATAAGAGTGAGAGGCTGACTAGCTGCCATAAGAAGAGACCCAAGGAGAGTGTATACCTGGAATTTTTATGATACAACTTTCCAGCACCTGGGCCTCAGCTTTATAGATCCAGGCTTACTTGTTTTTTCTAAGAAACCTAGGAACAGTCTCAGTTAACACCTGTTTTCTCTAAATTATTTTATTTATTTTTATTTATTTATTTTTAGCTGAGCCATCCTGCACCTGTTGGCAGTTCAGAGGCAGCTCAGCTCGTGCCGGGTATCGAACCGGCGACCCTGTTGCTCAGAGTGTGTTGCTCAGAGTTCACACTCTTGAGCAAGCTCTTAACCAACTGAGCCACTCGGTCGGCCCCTGAATAATTTTAAAGAGCACCCCTTTTGACTCTCAGAAGTGCCCCAATTAAGACAACACATTATGGTATCGACCTAACTAGAAGTGATAAAGCACTGAGATGATGGTTCACAGTAACTTTCCTCAATTCACAAGATAATTGGAAGGATTTGTTGTTGTTCTTGTTGCAAATAACCAAAACAAGACTCAATAGACCTTGAATGAGAAAAAGAATTAACCACCACCAAAGTGAGCCAGATCCAGGGTCTCAATGTTGATACAGTTCTCACCTCTTCTTACCTCTCTCTCCTCCTCAGCTCCACTTGTCTCTCTTCTTTTTGTCTGTGGCTCTTGCTCTTTCTGATATAGTCAGTTTCTGTCCCTTATCTCTTTCTCTCTTAGTCCCTTGCAGCACCAGATCTATATCCTCAGAGCTCTTAATCCAAAAGGAAAACTAGGCTCTTTTCCTCAGAGTCTGTATCCTACAGGCAGACTCAGAACGACCCTGCTTGGCTCCAGTGCTCACCTCTTGAGGCATATCACTATGAGAACAGTGACATGATTGGCTGTGCTTGGGTCACATGCTCATGCCTACTCAGTGTCCACTTAATAGCTGAGTAACACACTAGTGGTTCTACTACAAGGCAAGCTAAGAAACAACTACAACAGAAACACAACGATCAAAATGGGGTTCAATTACAGGTGCGATAACACATTATCTGAAAAAATTAGAGAAAAAATCTTCTTAAAGGGCTATCAACTGAAAGCCCTTGAAAACACCTTGAAAGGTGTTAAAAGTTCAGTAGGATTTGGCAGGTATGTAAAAAGTCTGGAATAACATTGAGATACACATTGGCTGGAGGAAGAGCACTACCCCAAATCTTGGATTAAAACAAGAATCGCTTCTTTAGTTCTTAATTCGAAAGCTAACCAGTTTAGGCTGGGCTCAGGCAGGCAGCTTCTTGTGTGTTTGGCTGTCTGGGCTTCCTGATGAGTCCATAAACACTTGCCCATCAGCTCAGTAGCTTAACTTCTAAGGTTAGCTGACTTCCAAGTGCAGTGCCCCAGCAATCCTCCACATGGTCTCTTATCCTCCAACAGGCTGGTCTGGGCTTGTTCTCAGGGCAGTGGAAGGAATTTCAGAAAACACTGAAGTCTACAAAGCCTTTTGAGAGTCAGGCTCAGACTGAGGCAATGTCACTTCCACCACATTCTATTGATCAAAGCAAGTCATGATGCAGCCAAAATTCAAGGATTGGGAAAAGGGTCTCTATTTTTTGATGGGAGAAAGTTCATTGAAAAGGCCTGGATACACAGGGGTACAGAAACTTGCATAGTGCTTGCAGTAAATCTATAACAGTGCTTTTACTGAAATAAGGTGATTGGGACAGCCTCCAGAATAGGCAAAGTTATAGTTAACAGCTAACATTTAAGTGCTTACTATGTGCCAAGTACTGCTCTAAGAGCATCACCTATATTAACACGTTTTAATTCTTGCTACATCCCTCATTTCAGAGAAATAAACTACCCTGACATGGAAGTCTAGATGTGACTTCTTATTAGAAGAAGAAACATATCTGAGTCCATAGTCAGGAATTCCCTGATCTCTGGGCTATTCTCTCTGATAAGAAGTCAGGTTACTCTGCACAGTTCCTGCATGGGTTCCCAGTGCCCTAGCAGAATGGACAGCTGATAGCATTGTGTATTAGTCAGGGTTTTCCAAATAAACAGAGTGACTAGGATAGACAAATAGAAAGATAGAGAGATATAAGAGGATGTTTATTATAGGAATTGGCTCATGTGACTGTGGAGGCCAAGAAGTCCCATGCTCCGCCATTTATAAACTAGAGAGCCAAGAAAGCCAGTAATGTAATTCAGTCCAAGGCTGAAGGCCTCCAGGCCTCCCTAGAACCAGGAGTGTCTACATCATAGGGCAGGAGAAGAAGGGTGTCCCAGCTCATACCAAGGGCAAATTCATCCTACCTCTGCCTTTTTATTGTATTCAGGCCCTTAATGGATTGGATGATGCTCACCTGCATTGGTGAGAGTGATCTTGACTCTGTCTACTAATTCATATGTTAATTCCTTCCAGAAACACCATCACAGACATACCCAGAAATAACTTTTTACCAGCGATCTAGGCAACTCTTAGCATAGTCAAGTTGATACATAATATTAACCATCACAGATGGTGTCAACATTTTCCCTTCAAACAGAATGCAATCTATTGAGGCAGATATTATAGGATGTTGAGAGAATTTTTTTCTCCCAATTGGCCAGAATTATAGCTAAGACCATAAGCTGAAATCAGAATGTACCATATGTTCACATAAACTAAAGAGAGACTTGGACTTTCTCAGAGGCAGTAGAATTGGCCCTACTCACTTCAACTCCACCCCACCACCAAACATCACAATAGCAGAAAGAAATAGGGATGAGAGAGAGAGATGGAGACATAGAGAGGGGGAGGAAAGAAAGGTGTAGAGAATGTAGTTTTTTGGATATTAAGGTTTCCATCTGCTCCCCCACTTCCATCTAGCTGGAGCCATTTGAGAGACAGCAGCTTCAAGACAACTCTCATAAAGATGTAAGATAACTATAAGAAAACATCACTAGAAACTCACTCCTTAGCTGAATGATTGCTGAGCTGCAGAAATATATCATTCCTGGATGGTGCCATTGCTTTTGCAGCTGAGTACAATGAGATGTATCTTAGGAGAGCTTTGAGATATCCCTTGAGCTGTGGGGCATACATGAACAAAAAGACCAGAGATGGGAGGCCTCCTGCAGGGCCTATGCTAGCTGGGTTTGAAGAGAATGTGGTGCCTGGGAAGAAGATGGGGACAAATCTCGACTTCGTTCCAATTCCCTGTGGCCCTCGGGGTTCACAGAAGAGGGCCTCAGCCACCTTGTTGGGCCAATGTGAAATATAGAATTTAGAGGAGGGGTTTGGGTGTCACATCAATGTGAAGATACTATACAAGCTTCTAAATGCCTATTCTCACTTATTTTACTT